GTGGTGTGACATCATCATGTCCTGCATTTTAATCTCGATTCAGCAAATCATTTCAGTCTAGACATTTAATTGGCTTTTACCCAAAGATCACGAATAAAATTAGCCTTATAATGAAGCCAGAGGATAAAAATGTAAAGTGTTCTGCCAGTTTGTGGGTGTTTGAGAATCATTATCTCTTTATTATCTGTGCTGTGACGTAACATGTTTGACGGGGATGATTTGTCCAGTTTACACTTTCAGATACGACCCAGAGTTAAATAAGAAGATGTCACACACGCCATAACTGTGACACCTGAATTGGATGTGCGTACCTGTGTTTTATGTGTCTGCCACTCAGTGAGTTTATTCTTCCAATCATATAATAAAAATAAGTCCTCAGTGAAATTCTGCATCTCTTAAATGTCAGTTTTCCATTTAAAATGTTTTAAAGTGCTTTGTTTATAATTTGTGATTCATGCTCCTTTTGGTCTAAGTTTCGATGACTCATATATCTGCACCATAAACAGCTGGTTAGCCTAGATTAGCATATCAACTGGAAACAATAAGAAACTGTTTCTCTCTGTCTCAAGGTGACTAAACACCTCTAAAGCTTGCAGAGCTTTTTGTGTAATTGTTTTAAAGTTTAAAAAACTGTGTTAATTACCTTCTCCTCAGCACCAAGGAGGTGGAACCACTGATAACAGTCACTCTGACCAGTTTTTAATCTTTTACGTAGTCAGTGAGGACACACTTGGCCTTTGTGTGTGACAGCATGTGCACAGTGTGGAAAACACTAATAAACTCACAGGAGAATAGAGTTTATTACTATTCTTAATGGAAGCCAGAGACTGAAACAACGAGGACATCCAGACTTTAAGAACAGAGGTTCATTATATCTGAGGTCGGTTACTTCTCTGCTTCCGTCACCCCCACTCTGATAAATAACTTTTATCCCTCTGGGCGATAAGTTGCTCGTTTCTGGCTTTGTCACAAGAGATGTATGATCGGCAAGACTAAGAGGCAACGTGTCTAAACATGATCTCGAAAACAATTTATTTTCACTTTCATTTCCATTTGGGTAAGAGTATGATGATAATACAAATCTCAAACCCAAGGCTGCTCCAACTTGTATTGAATCCTGCTGCCACAGTTCCAACCAAATCTTATTGCACCAGTTCTCAGATCTCTGCATTATAAACATATGATGATAACCCACCGGAGGATTTTAGATGTTTCTAAATCTTGTTATTCAGCTGACAGCACCCCTCCTGTAACCTTTTACAAATGTACATGCCCAGCATCTAGTTGGCCTAAGAACCTCCTGGAAGTAACATATTCACCGGCTAAAAACTTTTGTGTTTGTGTAATTTCTGTTTGTCTATGCTGCTTTTTAAAATCTATTCCTTATATAAATCGCTCTGACTTGCATCTTTGTATGAAATGTGCTCCATACTTAAATTTGCAGTTTGGGGCCTTCAGTGGCACCTTGTCAAAAATGATCTACAGCTTAAGATGAAAAAAATAAATCATTACGCTTTTCAATCCCTTTTTCACTGACGTGCTGTTAGGTTATTGCCTCTTTTTTCCCGATTTGGAAATGGAGCTCCAACTATCTCGTTAGCATAAGATTAATGATTTATCCAGGCCACACACATCTGTATGACTCACAGCTTCACTTAACGACACATTGAGTGTAAAATGAAAGTGGTTTTCTCACAGTAACTGATAACAAATAATGTTTTGACTCCATTTCAACTCAATCTTAATATATTGAGCTCCGATGCAGACTCACGAAGTTAACAACAAGTTAAACATATTGACACATTCAGCAGCTTGAGAGCCAAACATTCCCTCAGGAGTCGGTGGAGACCAAAACGGAGTTAGAGAGTAAATATTAGACGTCCAGCCTGTGGCCAGGAAAACAGGACTAGAAGTGAATCCTCTGCTGAATGTGTCGTGTTTTAGAGAACATGTTTAAAAAATATAAATTATTCCTTCTTTGCTGCCTAATTGGAATGAATGATTGTAGGTTTAAAGAATTTAGATCTTGTTTTTCTCGGGTCACAGGTTCACGTTCAGACATAAACAGAGCTTGATGGAGCGAGGAACACTCCTTGCTCACCCTCTTGACTGTAAAAAGTCTGTGGTGAGAGGAGGTCAGATAAATACTCCAACGTTTTCTTTTCACCCTCAGGCTGATGATTTACCTCCCTCTGGCCTGAATGGTCGTCATTAGTCTTACCTGTCTGAATCACTGCCCTTTCCCATGACTTGGAGCTTGGCACTAAAACATTACACCTGCGGACTATGGGACAGGTATCAGGTTCAGAAAAACTGATCCTGCAAATTCACTAGAAAAACTACAGATACTTTGAGCAGGGTGCTGTTTGCTGTTTTCAGTTTTTAAATAGTTGGATATTGTAGTTTTCTTTTTGTTCTATTTATTTTCTTTGATTTTAACAGAATCCACTAATCCCGATCTCTTTATTCGATTCACTCGTTTGTTAATTATTTTCTTAATTATCTATCTAACCTCCCTTATAAATAACTTTTATTTTTACAGAATAACTGTAACTGGAAGTCGTAATATTATGAAAATAAAGTTGTGATATCACGAGAAAAAAATTTAACAAATAAAAGTCATAATATTAGCGATTAAAGAAGAAAAAATAATTTTTTTAGGAACTCAGCACTACATTTTGTTTAACCTCTTGGCTCAACAGAAAATCATTTTGACAAGAAACTGACTTGACACCAATGTTAAGTGCATTAGCTTCATATTTTTGATCAAGGGCAGTTTTCGAGGACACATTATTTTAGTTGAGGTTTATCAGGAGGTTAGTGAAGTGCAGTGAAACATCAGACTCAGCCGAATCCACCCGCGTTCACCTTCTGCCAACATTTCCTCACATCACATCAGGGCATGAAAATGCTGAGTTTTGAATATTAACGTGATTTCCTGGCTGCTGTGTGTCACACCCCATCACCCACACAGTTCCACTCTGATTCATGGCGGTCTGTGGGCCACACCCGATTGGATAAAGCCCCACCTGTCTGAAATGAAGATTATTGATTAACAACAGCAATCTCAGCCTCACTTACTCCTCCCACATGTCTGCATGGACTGTGTGATGTATACGGTGTTAATAATGATGACTAACACAGGCTTTGACCTCGCCGCTTTTATCAATCCATCATGAGAATCTGTTCATCCTACGTGGAGGTCACCGGGGGCAGTCGCCAATCCCGTCATACACGTGGGTGAGAGGTTAATAGTTTGCTGAGGCAGAAGTGACACAGCACACCCATGGTTGTGATTAGAGCGTGGCCGCCAGGCTCCAGTGTGCATCCTGCGTACGTGAGGTAGACGTTCGTGCTATGCGTAAAAAATTGAGTTTAATGAGCTCATCACAAACCTCACACACGTGTGACTGGTTCGTCACACCCTCTCACTGCTGTGTATGTGCGTGAACGTTTGGTGCCACTCGCGAGCCAAATCGATTGATTTTTCTTTTTTCCTTCAGAGGCGTAACAATTAGATGCTTGTGCTGTTGCTGGAAGGTCACATGTTTGATTCCTGCATCAGCCGACGAGTCTGTCTGAGCTGAAGATCCTCATCCATCTTTGATTGCCGGACCTCTGTCCACAGAAATGATGACTCTTTAGCTCCTAAGGGAATGCTACTGGATGAATTCATGGAGTTTCTAAATCTTGTTATTCAGCTGACAGCGCACCTCTCGTAACCTTTTACAAATGTTGTTTTACAAGCCCAGCGTCTAGTTGGCCTAAGAACCTCCTGCACGTTACACGTCCTGCATATGTTTCCAACAGCTCGGTCAGATCTGCTCGGAGCCACGAGGCCGAATAAATAAATTGGACTTAATGTTTTATGCAGCAGACGCAGGGAGTCTTGCAGGACTTATGATTACACTGAGGCAGGAAACGATAATATTTGCATGTTAACTTAAAACTGTCACTTCACAGTTCCCAGTTCAAATCCCAGCATTCTGAGTGGACTTTGCATGTTCTCTGCACATGTGAGTGGGTTTTCTCTGGCTTCTCCCACAGTCCAAAGACGTGCAGATTATTTGTCTCTGTGTGTTGGCCCGGTGAACCCCGCCCCTCACCTAATTTCAGCTGGGATTGGCTGCAGCTCCTCCGGGACCCTTACAGGATAGGCTGTGGAGATAACGAATGGTTGGATGTTAGGCGCAAACGGGTCCACATTCATAAGATGATAAGAAAGGCAAAGATGTGGTAAATGGTTTGTATTTATATAAAGGTTTCTAGTCTTGATGACCACTCAGAGCACTTCACAGTACAGATTTCCATTCACACACACATTCATACAGTGCATCTACGACCACTCTACCCCTCAGCCACAGCCGCCACTGTGGCAGGAAAATCGATATGACAGGACAATATTTGAAATGTAATTTTGGTGACGCTGGTTGAAGCTTTTCAGTTTTTTTCTTCGCTGCAAGTAAAGACCGGCTGCAGAACCCTGAGCTGTTGTAGAATTAACGGTATCTCAACAACACACGTGACAAGTTTAAAGCAGATAAGATGAACGGTTCTTGAGATATTCGTGCCACATACAGATGCAATTAGATCATGATGACTTCACGATGACCACACAAGTAAAATGTTGTGAATTCCAAACAAAACTGTATATTTATGCAAACACTTCAAATATGATTTGAAGCAGGTCTTGCAGATTCTTCAACTTATAACACAACGTTAAAAAAATGTGCACAGGTATGAAAACAGGGCTTTCTAACAATGGGCTGGTTTGGATTCATCAGAAACCCTCTAACCCTCCAGCGGTTGGATGAATCCTGCAGAGCAGAGCAGACATGTGTGCCACGGATCCACTAAAACAATCTGGCAGGTGATGAGGTCAAAGTAGATTTATGAATTCCTCTTTACAACCCCCGTCGCTACTCATTAACCCATGAGAACGACTGCTCTGGTCACATGACTCATGTGGACTGCGGGGCAGATGTGTTTAAAAGGGACGCTTGTGGACGGAGGAAACGCAGACAACGAGCTGAGCACCTGCTGAGCGAATATACACAGCAACAGACAAACGAGACAAACAGCTGTCGAGATGAAGGCCACGCTCGCCACCGTCACTCTCCTGGTCCTCGCTCTTGGCTGGACTTCTGAGGCCGTGCAGATCGAGGTGAGTGCATCATTTAACGTTTCAGAAGACGGATGTCTTCGTGATGAGGCTGTCTGGACTGGACAGTGACCTTTTCTGCTCAGTGGGAGGAATGTCTTTGTCCTCGATTGCTGTAGATCATGTTACAGAGACGACACAGCTTCAAACCTGTTAAATGTGCAAATCTCTGCCACGTCTTTTTCTATTATCACATTATTTGAACTACAATAGCAATCTGTGCCTTTCAGCTGGTTTCAGTTGTCTAAAATAAAAACCTGCCTCTTCTTTCAGGAGAATGGGTTGTCGTTCTCCCTGGAGGCCGTCAAGAGGCTCCAGGAGCTCACGGTGAGCCGGGGCTCACCAGGGCCGCAAAACCCTCGACTCAGGGCGAGCACCGTGTCGGTCTGCGCCGACCCCATGCTGCCACAGGAGTTCCTGCCGCTCTGCAAGCAGAGGGGAGCGTCAGCATCTCTCTCCAGACTAGGTGAGAGCATTATAGATCAAACAGCTCCCGTCTTTGTGATGGAATTTTCGAGTGAACATGTCAGATTGTGAATATTAGAGCGGGGGGGAGTCAGCAGCATCCGAAATCTGTGTCTCATCTGTCTCTTTCTTTATTTCAGCCCTGGTTCCCCTGGACGTCTGTGAGATCTGTGCCTTTGCCGCCTGCACCGGCTGCTGAACAAACGCAGCTGACCACATCTTGCCGAGCTTAAGACTTGTGATTTTTTTCTCTCTCCTTCAAAGCTATTTCAGGGAATATCAAATTCTTTTGCCCCCAATGACGAAACGTTCTTTTTCCTCAATACTGAGGTTCTGACCCGGCCCACTGGAAACTTCATAAATTTAAAAGTTGTCTTTTATTTTGTATGTTTTGCTTTTGCAAACTGTTACTTTGTAGCATAGTTACAACTTATTTTTCTGCGGAAAGTTCTCTCACATTAATTTAAATTTTTGCAATTACACTGTTTGTTACATCTTACCAAGCTTTATATATGTATTTAAAGGAGGTTCTTTTTGAATTCTTCTTCTCTTTTTTATTTGGATAGTTTTGAATAAAAAGCCTTCACTGATAAATTGTGTGAAATTTATTTGGTTACAAAGTGAACTTCAAGCTGCATGCAATGATTTTTTGCTTTAATTTGAAAAATCCTGAGTTGTGTTGTGGTTCATGGAAAAGCAAACAAACAAATACTCGCTTGGCTGATTCTTGATGATTGTTAAAATATATTTTAAAAAGAAGTAAATGGAAATGTATTTCAGCATCTATCCAGCAGTGTGCCGAGGTATTTGAAACAACTCTTAAAGAAATAAGATTTAGAAAGATTATATCTAAACGGGTAAATTAATGAATACGATTTGAGGAAAGAAAACTGAACATTTTAGTTGTGACCGTTCTAAAAACATCTTTGTGTGGTCAAACAGAAGCGGTTTCCCAGATCGGTAGTTTTTCTGATGCTGGATGTAATTTATTGTTCCAGTTGATATAACCTATAATTCACAGGTCATAATCACAACTGTATTTGCTGCATGTGAGGTAGGTTAAAAATATCAACACATTTCATTCTGTACATGCACATTTATCTCAATCAGTGAATTTCAAACTGAAATCGATGTATATGAGGATAAACAGAGACACTGACACGTTTCAGATCACTTCACAATCCCTCCAAAAGTATTTTATGAATCCTTGTACACCATTTCATCACCAACCTGCCATTTTGATTATTCGTATTGTTTTAATGTTGTATTTATTGAGTATCTTTTATTCTCTGATTGTATTTGCTCCAGTCCTGAAATGTTTCATCCTGTTTCCTCCATATAATACGTTGTTTCGAGTGCAGTCAGAATTAGTATAAAACGTCATAGTGAGACTGGCTCTCACGAGGACCACCGCACGAGGGGAAGACCAAGAGTTTGTTTAAGTCCCAATTAACAGCAGAGTTCAAGCAGCAGACACATCTCAACAGAAACAGCTCAAAGAAAACTACACAGATCAGGACTTCCTGTAGGAGCAGCTGCCGAGAAACCACTTCTGAGGAGAAGAATCACTGTGGAGCACGGAGCCAAGAAGATACAATAGAAGAATCTGTAGTTTAGTTTAATGAGTCTGTGTCTGAGATGCAGAGAATGTGAAAGTCTAGTGTGACCTTTTTACATCAGAAAAGTCTACTACTGCTTTGTACTACTACTATGTAATACTTGTAGTACATGTGGATCAGGTTCCTGCAGCCCGTTACCATGTTCATCTGCATTGTCCGTGTCGAATAAAGAAATAAATAGATGAAGAGTGTTTGTGTTCCTGGTTCCCACAGCGACACGTGGAGGAGGAGGAGGAGGAGGTGCGATGGTGTGTGGGTGTTATCCTGGTGATTTTATTTAGAATGACACAGAATACTGCACCCCCTCTGGTTTGCACTCATTTGCTTTTCAAAAGGACATTGACATTTTCTTCCTCGCAAAATGAGACTTAATGTTCTGCTCTCTCGATATAACTTGTCTCCCATTAGCTTAGATTTAGCAGCTGGATTTTCATAGGGTTTGACTGTATATAGCCGAACAATTAGATGAGTTAGAGTTTCTGTGATTAATGTTAATAATAATTAATAATGATAACTTTGTTTGTATTGCACATGTCGGCAAGGAGTAATAAACACAACAGCATTTAGTGAAAACAAATTAGATTATATGAAAGTCAATGAAAAAATAGATTTATAAGTTAAAGGTCCAGTGTGTAAGATTTATGTGAAAGGGATCTATTGGCAGAAATGTAGAATAATCCTCATGATGTTTTCACGAGTTCGTTTCATCTAAATTGTATGAATTGTAGTTTTCTTTACCCCAGAAAACACTGTTTATATTTAAATACTTTATATTTTCAACATGCATTTTCAACACTAGATTCTACACACTGTACCTTTAAAACTGAATAAAAACTATTTTGCTGAAAGAGTTCAATGAAAGTCATGTTTTCTCATTTGAATCTGTCCAAAGGAGTTCGCATGTCATCTCTTCAACACACAGGACCAGGACCCACTGTACATAGTGATTTATATAATGCACATTCAATGAAAACCATTGAAAATCAATGAAAATGTCCCACAGTACTCATTGATTTCCATACAATACTTAGTACGAGTGTGTGTGTGTGTGTGTGTGTGTGTGTGTACATTATATAGTCTATACCATCCATTTGTCACAATAAATGGACACACATGATTTCAAACAACGTACTTGGTGGGAAAACAGTGTCACATTAGACACATCATAGTAATAATAAAAGTTTGCATGGTCTATGTCTCTTAAACTGTCCCCTGTTGCAGCTCCATGATTCACTGTCAGTCTGAAACAGTCTCTGTCTCTTTCTACTCTAATACAAGCAAATGTCTCAAAGTGTTAAAAATAAAATAAATAAATAAAATGTGCGCCTGCAGCTCAGCAGGAGAAAAACCAGAGAGAAACTTTGGGACTAATGTGAACTGAAGAACTTTGAGTTCACACGCTCTGACCAAAACCTGCTGCAGACTGACTCACCGTGACATCACAGATGTGACATCATAAACTATGGGAGGGATCGGCCCCCTCAGACCAAAGTCGCAGTAGGTGAACAAACATTTTCTAATCTAACAATCTCTCGTATATTCATACTTCAATTTTAAGGTGCACATTTGTCTGTGTAAGCAAACTAAAGGATCATGGTCAAAACTATTCAAACAAGTGACCTGCATGGATCAGCTCTGATGGTATATAGCCCCTCGCTTATCACGCAGCCGTGTGACGACTTTCTGTGGGAGAGAGGCGAGAGATGACATTTATTAGGTGGCACTACGGGAATGGGTGCGTTCGTATGAAACCCAAAGTAAATGGTGAAATATTGCACTGACGGAGGAAACGACAGAGATAAGAGGTCATAAATAAATTAGGAGGATAGTGGTTATAAACTTAAATAGAGGATCCACAGCCCTCAGAGTACAATGAGGTTATCTTTGACCACTCAGTGTCCCCCCCACCTTTACTCTCCACCCACCAGACGCCTTTGTTAATAAATCACTCACTAATCCGTCCAGACACCTTATAAGAGGCAGCACAGATACACGGCGAGCACAGAAGAACCACTCCTCTGTATCGAGAGGCATCATGCATCAAATGAACATGAGATCGCTCGGTGTGGTTGTTGTTGTTGTGGTGCTGTGTGTGTGCCCTGGAGCTCTGGGTGTGCAGGTTAAGGTGAGTGTCCACTGATCTTGGAAATACTGGCTGGTGTTCTTCATCCTACCAACCTGTTTTGTTTCTGTCTCTTTATTCTGTCTTTACTCTATTTTTAAACTGCGTTTTTGAAACAGTGAACACAAAACGAGCAGGTTTTTGTTTTGTAAAATCCAGATTCCTGTTTGTAAAGGATGTCTTTTAAACCTGCTCTAACATTAAATACACATCTCAGCACCAAGTTATTCACACTGCAAAATGTTTCTTTCGTCTTGTTCCTTCCTCTCCAGGTCGGAGACAGGAGCTTCCCCCTGGAGGCAGTGAAGCAGCTGAAGGAGCTGATGGATTTAAGCGAAGATGTTAGCCCTCGCCTCGCCGAGACAAGTGTTGTGGCCGCTTGTGAAAACCCTCTCCTGCCTCAGGTCTTTCAGCCAGTTTGCCAAGGGAGGGGCACAGGCACTGTGTTCTCCAGACTAGGTAAGACCTGGCTGAGCCCAGGGTAAATGAAGATGTCGAAATTTTATTGGATATCAGATTTATTTGTGCAAAAATGTAAAATAAGCACAGTGTTCCTCCTTCTTATGGGTTTAAACAGTAAATTACTGAGGGTAGAGGAGTTGTGTTGCTGAGATTTTGACATTTAATCATAAAAACTTAGAGTTTTGTTGTTTTGCAAAAGAAGAAATGATGACAACAGTGAAGCTGTGAGGAACAGAGGAGAATAAGTTGGGTTACAGTTACACCGACAATACTTGATTCAATTAATTGTTGGTTTTGCTCTTTTGGTGGAATCTGATTTTATCTGTTAAGCTCAAAGTAGCTGGTTTGCCTTTTACTGCAGCAGTAACCTTTGCTAATAAATGAATTACATCTCATTTATTTAATCTACTGTACAGACAGCTCTATCTGCTCAACCCTGCCATTTCCCTCCCAGCAGGGAATCAAATAAACACGTCAGTCATTAAAACCTTAACTGGTTTGAAATGAATGCATGAAGGAGACCAGAAGGTGCAACAATATACTAACAACAATAACATGAGCAACTGTCACTCCCTCTACTTGCTTCACCCATTCCACCAGCACATCCATGAAAGGCTAGAATCGCTGTCACTCTCTATGTTACATGAAGGTGTTCACATCCTATTGGATAGTTAAGTCTAAAGTGTCCATTCCTCAATCGCATCGTGTCCTTACGTGTTGCCTCTGGTGAAATATGCAAAAGAGTGAGAGTTGGTGCCTCTGTGTCTGGGCATCTGAGTTAGATATGAAAGTCCCTGAGCGTAGACACCACAAGGTACTGTTGGTCCTTTATCTATAACCTGACCTTCGGTGCTGCTTGGAGAGAGAAGGGAGAATGTGTGGAACCAAACCTGCCCCCACTCTCCCAATGGTGTACAGATATAGTGTAATATACATAATATACATAATATATAGTGGCATTTACAGTGTGAGGAGGGTCAAAAATTCCTCAACACATGTTGTCCCTCAGACTTGAGCTTAAAGACACTAACAACAGGCTCAAGCTTCTGTTGCTTCACTCCTGATGAAGTCCTGCAGGTCACTGTTTACACATCATGCACATCCTGTAACTGCCGCACCATAAAGCAGCTCTGGAACCACAATGTCAGACCAGAGGCCAATGAAAAGCAGTGTAAATAGACCATGAATGCTTCTTTGGTGCTGCACTGAGACCGATATGGATCCAGAAAGCTGACCTACGTCATAGGTCACATGAATATTTTGTCATGTTTCATTTTGTTTCTCTCCAGTGTACATCATCACGTCTTCGGATCCCTGCGAAATATGTGCCAACCCCTCCTGCTTCGGGTGTGCGAACTGAGGCGGCCATCTGCAGAACATGCAAACACATCGGCCGAGAGCCCCTGAGGGCGTCAACACCTTCCACAGCTCTTCAATGTTTCTTAGAATAATTAGGAAAATTTCACCCGGCAACCAAACCCAATAGGTCTCAAGGATCAGTGTTCATCACACCGGATTTTAAAAGTTTCATTAAAAATGTTATTATATGTTTTGGTAGATTGGTTTTCTGTAAAGTGTCAAAACAGCTTTTCTGCTGTGTTTGAATGTTGCGTTCTCAAATAGAATTTTTTATTTATTAAGTCTGTTGCAGCCTCTTCACAATAAAAACATATTAAAAGTATTTCTTGTTGTCTCTTGAAATAAATAAACACAAACACACAAAGGGAGATGAAGATACTGAATGGGAAACAATGAAGGACATTATGTTAAGTCTGATGAAAACAACTGACGAAAAATGAGAATGTGAACTTTCGCTGGTTCCTGTGATTAAATCAAAGACTGTCTATGAGTCAGTCATGTTAAACAAGTGGTTTACATACTGGGCTGCAAAACTAATAATAAATCTTTCATCACCCTCCCACTGACCAGTTTCAGTTTGTGTTGCCATGTGACTGATTTTGATGCAGGGCAGCCAACTGCAGCAGCTAATTAACGCTGAGTCGATCAGGAGTATGCATTAGTGACGTCAGGCGTCAATATACATGACATTAGTGACGACCATGGTTCATGATGATCGTGTGTCACATGTTATACACATACAGGGACTAACTACAATCATTGAAAGCTGCACTGTTGAATGTATCGTGTTCATTTTGCATCCACTGATCAATAAAAACTAATAATGTGAGTGTAATCGATGACATAATGAACTGGTCTAATGAAAGTGATCAACCTCAACAATCGCTGTGTTTGATCCATAAACTTGATGTGTTTCACTCCGTCCTCTGCATTAAAGTAATGCTTAGGGTTTTTTTACTACAGGGGTCCTGACTCACATATTTGATAAATTAAATCACATGATTGTGGTCATGGTTCTTATCCTGTTTATTGTATCGTGTCATATTTGGAACACGTGGATTAGGAGTCGATAAACAGGATTCTCCAAAATTCATTGTTGTGCATGAACAAAGAAGTTTAACAGAATATCTTTGAATAGTTTTTGGCCCATCGAACACTGTCATGGATACTAATAGATTCATTCAAACAGTATTATTTATAAACTGCATATACTGAGGCACCTTTTATAAAGAACTGAAAATAAAGACTAAATAGAAAACTAGAGAGGGGCAATTTAAATAAAAAATAATAAAATGTACGTATTAAACAATCCAGATTTCTTTATTTAATTAATCTGATTATTATTATTTGAACAAAAGTAGATCAATCAAATGACAGAAAAAGACAAAAAAATCAATTAAGAATATAATATTTCTATATTCCTTACACTTCAGTATTGCAACTTATACAATATATGGATCGTCACTGATGACTTCTTTTGACTCTTGCTGTAATATTGCAAATTCCCCCACTTATCTTATCTTATCTTAACCTGTCTGATCCTATCTTAACTTATCTTAACTTATCTTAACTTATCTCATCTCAACAGGAAGCAGGAAGTGAGTTCTTCCTGTATCTTCTCACCATTAGCTGACATCATGACGTGACAGGAAAACAACGGACCAACGTGGCTTCAGTTGTTAATTGATCGTCGAGCTGCGTCTTTAAATGAATTCAATCAAAGTTAAATTCAGAGAAACATTTTCAGGAGAAACACGAAACTCTTCAGCTCGATGTTTATGAACCTGGGTGAGTACACCGAGAGTTAACAAGTGAAACCTGAGGTATTTCGTTTTCCTGCTCTAGTATCCACGTAGTAGTAGGTTTTCCTCTGCCGTCACGTGGCTCGTTGGTCTAGGGGTATGATTCTCGCTTAGGGTGCGAGAGGTCCCGGGTTCAAATCCCGGACGAGCCCTCCCCCTTTTGTTCTGTTTTCCATCGACCCTGCACTGACTAAAGACTTAGCTCATTAACACACCATCGATTGAAGTTTCCACACACGAGTCACTTACATGCTCACACGTTTGTCTGCATGGGAATGATTTTGATAACTTCACTATATTCAAGGAATATGTTGAACAATATTCAACATATTTCTTGTCTGGTTTTTTTTTGGGAGGCAGAGCTGATAATGGTCAGGTGCTGTTACCTGGTCAAATTAATTCAAACCAATGAAGAATAGGCTAAAGGGGACAGATTCATATATTGTATAGATAACGTATTAGTTTTTGATTTTGTGTATTTTTTTCCATCTTTAAATGTAAATCTGGAAGCTGAAGAGTTAAATTAATTATTATGCAATAATATAAGATGGTGACGTAGTTTGAATACATTTATTTTTTGACACTTTTGCGTGAAAGTAAAGGATCAGGACACATGTTGGTGTACAGCGTGTAGAGGCAGTGTAGGGTGCACAGCCGTGGAGAAATTTATTTAAATAGTGAAATAAATGAGTAACTTTATATGATTAAAAACATCTGCTATGATGTGTTAAAGTCTTTATTTGCTATAGTCAGTGTACCGTGTGCTGATTCCTCTTGATATCCAGGAGAGGGCACAATTCACTAAACTATTTTTTCTACACACTGAATTCTGTGTTGGTGACATTTGCTAACACCATCTGCTACATCTGTTATTATTATTCATTCCTATAACTTAACCACAAGAGAGAAAAACAAACTGGTTATTTGCATGTTGCCATGAGAATAGAAGATAAAAATATGTAAAGTTTTAAAGTAACATACGTTGACAGAGGCACAGAAACACACATGACTGTATTTTACCTTCCACCATATTAGTAATAACAGGAATCTATCCATCTATATCATCTCCTGGCTCCTTTTAATGTGGAAAATGTGTTTGCCATTGCGTGCCATGCTCTGACCTGTTTCCTGAGAAAGATGTGCTGGCACATGCCTAAAGTTATGTAACATCTCTGCAATTGGAGATTTTAATTTCCCTAACTTTTTTCATATGATTGACGGGAACTGTGCATCGGTTTCTCCTTTGGGTTTTCTCGTCATCCTGTTCAGGGTTGAGCCACTGGAGCCTGTCACAGTGCAGAATTAACATTTTTGACATTTGTCATGGCCAACACATGTAGGCGCACAAACAATTGAATACACATGAGTTTTCTGGTTGAATAGTGTTTGCCTTTGGTCTGTGACAGAACATGCAGTTCCCAGACTTTTCGTTGGCAGATTTAGCAGTGTTGAAAGAGTTTTGTTTTTCAGTTTGAGTTTTTTGTCATAAACCAAAGATACCGATCTCCACAGCTTTACTTTGAAGTCAATCTTGATTTCAGCATGTTGTAGTTGCTAATATACTGTTAGTGGAAGTACCAGTAGATTTGTTACACCTTTCATTGCATTGCGGTTGACAATGATTACGCCGGCACTTGAAGTAATTGTGTGTCATTGAAACTGTTGGTGTCACACATGGGTGGGTAAATACAGGATTCCCATATTCAGCCTGCAAGAAGGTGGCACCTTCTTTAGGGAAACTTTAGAAAATAGAGACTGACTATCACACAAAGTTTTCCGTTTAATGTAAGAAAGGCTAGCATCCAATGTCACCAAGCTCAAGATAGTGATATCTGGATCTTCTCCACAATTGATTGGGTTCTTCCTGGGGTCATGTCGCTTTGAACAGTTGAGTAGTTTTTCAGTCACACGAACAAATGAACCATTTCACATCATCAATGCTTGACAACGTGGGGTCATACAGCCTCACACACAAATATATTGAGGACAGAATTCAGACAGGCCAAAACAAACTACACATTCTTTTGGAAACAGCTGTGACATCCGTGATTATTTGCAAGTAGAGCAGGGAGGAGGTTCATTCTAATGCCTGATGTGAACCGACATTTTTAGAGCTATCCACTTGTGATCACACAAGATGCATATTAATGCCAGGTATGAACTCAGCTCGCTCAGCGTAGCTAAGCTGTGACTCGACACTGGCTGTTTGGGGGAAGGATTTAATAAATGTCAATATGCTGGTCCCTGCCTGACACATCTGTCTCCTGCTTTGGTAAAGGATAAGCTGCACATACCTGTGGATGTGCACCGTCGTCTTTCATTCTTCATGTGAAAGTATCCTGCATTCCAACAGAGTCGCTCTATATTCCAGACACAACTGGTGCACACTGCCCCTCACCTTGGAGGGACACACGTGAGCAAATTAAAACTTCAGTTGTTCTATTCGTCTGTCTCTCTGCCTCATTCGTCAACGCTCTCTCTTATCTTGGCAAATCTACACCATCGCTCTCATTCTGGTCATGATTGTATCATCCTGACTGGCTGGATTTTCAGTGGGATGTGCAAGCGATGCCCAACAGTTATCTCCTTCAGTCGTAAATCAAAACTAGAATGGCAGCAGAGCCCATAACTGTCTCCTTTTAATACCACATTGAAATCCGCTACATCCTGATCTTTTTTTGGTTCTGCACCAAGTGGCAACATCACCCATCGGTTTGTGAACTTCCATTTTGAAGAGTCTGGAATTTTGGCCAGCGCCATCTTGGTTTTTTGAAATCAGACGTAGTAGATGTACAAGTAGGGGGTGGAGCCTGACGAACACCTCATCCTTGGCAAAGGTTAATAAACCTAAACCCTCCTGGATGAGCGCACCACTTTTCAAGCTCTCGTCGGTTCTTTAATCACAGACAGTCTGGTTTGGAGATGTTAGATTGAGCCCCTTTTTGATTCACTTTGAGGTTTGAATTATATGGTTCACTTAATTTCTTAATCACACTTTATGTCTTCAACAACTAGTCTTAAAAGTTGGCAGCGCAGTTTAGAGGGTTTAAGTGGCGGTGACACTGATAATCAACTCAATTCTCAATGTTCAATGTTCATTAAGTCAGTGAATGTTTTCTGGATTCAAATCTTTCACCCAAAACCCAAGCACATAAAACATGAAGCCTCTGCAGCTGTGTGAGGATATAGTCCTGCCTGGAACTCTACCCACAGCATCCAAGTCTGACGCAAACGAAAATTACAAATTACACACCACACTATATGATATGTTCCCCCGACGTGACAGTCTGCAATAAGTCAATGGTTTACAGATCAGCGTCTGGAGTGTAGCAGTCATTACTGCTGATGTCTGGTTGTAATGTCACACAAAACAAACCAAACCATTTCAATATACAGGGGTTCCCTTGTTGTTATTGCCAATAGTATTCATTTTAAGGTATTTTTCAATCTTAAAATAATTAAAATACTTAATTTGCCTCATTGAAAAACATTGCCTAAGTT